GGAGGTGACAGGGTTGCCATAGTTACCGCTGACCTCCGCCGAGTTCCCGAGGCTCCTCCCACCCAAGCACCAACGTCAAGCTCATCTACGTGTGATGAGTTTAATGGGCTAATTAAGATGGTCTCAGATGGTCTAAGATGGTCTCAGATGGTCTCAGAAGGTCTCAGATGGTCTCAGAAGGTCTCAGATGGTCTCAGAAGGTCTCAGAAGGTCTCAGATGGTCTCAGAAGGTCTCAGATGGCCTTAAATGGTCTAAGATGATCTAATTAAGATGGTCTAATTAAGATGGCCTCAGAAGGTCTCAGATGGTCTCAGAAGGTCTCAGATGCCCTCAAATCGCCTCAAATGGTCTTATTAAGATGGTCTAAGATGGTCTAAGATGGTCTCAGATGGTCTATGATGGTCTGATATCATCTAAGTCTCTTGTCGTAAATAATTATTATATGCATGATTACCAATAGATTAAAATCATTTTGGGAACGATTGTCCCAATTGTTGGGAAGGAATGGGTGTAGATAGTTAATGAGTAGTTAGATAGCAGAATCCAAAGTATTGGTTCGGTGGATTGATATTGAGGAAAAAACAGAAAATCGTGTAGGGAGCGAGGGAGACGAGCAATATTGACATCTTTACCTGATTCTTTGAATGAGCCATGCAATCCTCCCTCCTTGCCTGGAGAAAATCCACAGTCTAAAGACTCCTTGTCGCCTAAACATTCTAAACGTCAGTCATCACACAATATTTACATTTTTTTCAGAAAGAACTTAGCCAAATTGTGATTTATTGCTGTGTAGCGGTAGGGCACTCGACTTTCCCCTGTGGATTCAGTATTGCATGTGAGTCGAGTTCGCTCTCCTTTGAATCGAGAGTATTTTTACGGCGTTACTCCATCCGCAATACCTAACCAGCTAAATTCCAATTCTAATCTATGAGTTAGGCGTGCCTTTACCTCGACCAGCACAGGGGATGTTTTAGGGTTGTAACGATAACATTTGTAGGGTTTTTCCAGTTATCATGTACATGAGTTACAAACACATACCAAGTAAGTCCGTGGAGAGAAGTTCATCAGCTATCTGTTGCGACAGGTACCTAAGCACAACGTTATTACCATTAGAGACATAAATAAACAAATCTACAATATTAAAGGTTTAGTTTGCTCAGAAACTTACAAGGCGTATTACTTATTATGCATTACTGTCTTCATTATCAGTAATGCTCTACGTATCTTTGTCGTAAAGAATCTTATACTCTAGGTTATGACAGTGGTCTGAAATGGAGGGGGGGGGGGGGGGGGGGGGGAGGGGGGGGGGGGGGGGTGGGGAGGGAGAATCGGAGCAATTGCGTAAGCACTGGCGCTTTACAAAATGTATTTTAAAAAATCAATATCAAAGTTTTCGCGAAGGACGAAGCTGACTGTGCATTCAAATCCAAGAAAGAACCAAAACTACCAAAGTCAACCAACTCACCGGGTGCTTAATGGATGATCCCATCGCTGTATTGCTTGTTTCACTTTTTCCTAAATGTAACGCAGTAAATTAATAAAATGTAAACTGATGAGATATCAGAAAGATTAATAAAAAATGGGTTCGCAATTAAGGGATTTCCAAGTCTGGGGGAGGCAACTTTCAAGGGAAAAAATATATTGATTTTGATCAGTCAATATGACTGCCGCGTGAGATAGATAAATCGTATCTAAAACGACTCTCCCTTTCCTTAATCAAAGGTTTGGTTTGGTTTGGTTCTTTATAGGACTACGACAAATCTGTGTTAGAAGTGTGTAGAGCAAAAACTTACATGTTTTAAACGTGATAGAATCTGAAAAACGAAATCAGAGTCCCCACTTTCTCCATCCCAATCTAAAAGATAGGAAATTAAAGATAATTTTATAAACTAAGTGTAGAATGAGTTTAATATCAAAACTGGCAAAAACCTAATGGTATTAACAATAGTAGGAATTCTTGGGGGGTGGGGGTGGGGGAACGTCTACCTAGCCCCACCATCATGCAACGTTCAGGAACTAAATACTAAGTGGAAACATACGCACCATCAACAAGTCGAGATATGAACTGGTCTGTTAGTTGTAGAACATTGTTGTCCACATATTGCATAAACATTCTACAAGAGAAAAAGGTTTTAATAATCCAATATCTTAACATCTTGTCAATAGATTCGTTGACTATTCCCTATTCTCGCGCGGCGGCCTCACTAGTACCCATGTATGAGAAGTCACTGGTTAGCACTTCTTATATTTCATTACTGTCTTGCTGCACTCCCCCCCCCCCCTGACCTGTGGTTTCTCTCCTTGGTTTTCTTTATCAAACAACTTTACCCATAAAAGAAAGACAAACGCACGAAAGAAACATATACATTTTTTGCCAACTTTGTTTTACTTTGCTCCCTGGCAAGATAGCCGCCGTATCGTCAAAGTAGTCCATTTTCAAGCAAGAGTACAGTGCATAGAATACTATTCCCTTAACCACATCATGACACCATTGCTACCAGAATCCTCTTCGTAGCTCCCTTTGTTGGCTTAATTTTGATTAAAACACCATTACCTTGCGACGCTCAAAAGATTTAAATGAAAAAGTGAATTGAATAAGAAACCAAACTTGAAGAGGATTCTGGTATACTGAATTGGGTATCGAGGCTTTGCACCAGCACGTGATGGTAGCCATGACAGGAGGCAGGGATAATTGAATGTGGTAGAACTGATTTGGTTTAAATGTGAAAGAATTCAGTTGCCAAGGGGGGAAAAGACTCTAACGTCCTGTCTGTCTCCTGTCATGGCTGCCATCACGTGATGGTGCAAAGCTTCTATATACACAGATGGGGAACGTAAGTAAGTGGTTATTGTACCTCTGATTAAGACATCGACAGGCCAAAGTAGTAAAGAACGTTTGAAAGCCTGCAAAGAAGAAGAAAGAAATGAAAAATCACGAAGAATTACGAGAAATGATCGACAGTTCCTGTGAGCAAATAAAAGGGTCCTTCATTTTTGCTGGGGTAAATGAAAAGAATAAAAAGGTAAAACTTGGAAATACCTGGAGGGAAGGGGAACTTGATGTCTGTCACGCTAGTGTAGTATCTCTCGACCATTTGGAAAAGTGCTATCTCACGTATTGTACCACGAACAAAACTGGAAAAGAATAACATTGTGAATACAAGTAAATAAACGTTTTGTACGAGATAAAGGGTAATTATTATTGTTGTTAATAACAATGGTAATGACTAGAGATGATGACAACGATGACTGATGATGATGATGATGACCGGTAACTGATGGTGGTGATGATGATGATGACTGATGATGATGACAACGATGACTGATGATGATTATGATGATGACCGGTAACTGATGATGGTGATGATGACGATGATGATGATGACTGATGATGATGATGGTGACGATGATGATGGTGGTGGTGATGATGGATGATGATGACGATGATGATGACCGGTAATTGATGATGGTGATGATGATGATGATTGTGACGATGATGATGGTGGTGGTGATGTTATGATGATGATGACGACGACGATGATAATGATGACGATTATGGTAATGATGATGATATGGTGATGATGATGATGACTGATGATGATGATGGTGACGATGCTGATGATGTTGATGATGCCGTGACTGATGATGGTGATGATGATGATGAAGACTGATGATGGAGATGATGATGATAATGATGAAGATGACCAAGACGACGGACGATGACTGAAATGAACTATTGATAGAAATTTCTCATACAACACACCTAAACACGACCCAATAATTGAGCCCATACTCACAGTAATGTTATAGTGGGATTAGTATCAGAACTAAAGCCAAGTCCAGATCTGAACAGACGTAGGAGGGCATCAGACTGAGCTGCTTGGTTCTTCACGTACTCTACTGCAATATTATGTGTCTTGGTTCTAGTTTCACGAGGTAAATGAGCTTGAAAATGAGCCGCCAACCTGTCGATAACCTAAAGCACGAACAGGCTGTAGTTTAATAGAGTACACAGGTCTTGACTTTAAATTTCATCTTTTTATTTAATTTATACCCTGAATCAAACACCCTCTGAGCTGATCTAAGTCAGGCATGTCTAAAAACATATCAATCCTGATACAACCTCAAAAGACATCAGTGGTAGAGAGGTAAACTAGGGAGGGGAGGGTAGGTAGTTAATGTCACACATACCATGTTCTGTTTCTTTATTTCAGAGATGCTTCTATCATCTTCACAGTATTCAAGGAAATCACCACTTTCTGGGGGGAAAAAGTAAGTTAATTTACTCGGTAGAACTCATGATACCAGAGAGAAAGAAGCCAAAAATAAGGCTACTATTCGCGAGCAATTCAAATGCAACTTACTTGTGCTTGTCTGGGATGTTACTGATTCCATACTTGGATACTTCCTGGCAGGCAAAAACAACGAAATAGATACACTGTATTTAAAAATGTCTAATGAGAGAAACAAACATCAAGATTGATGTTAAGGTAGCACGGGACAGGCAAGTATATCTCACTTATTCTTCACGCAAGACTCATTTCATGAGCCAAGCGCTGAATCCAAGAGTCTGGTTTCCCCCTGCGTAAATTTAAATCAAATGCGTAATTTTGTCATGGTCCAAATAGCCACTGTGCAGTTGCTTTAAGACTTGTGAAGAACTACTCCATAAATAGCACGGCACAGTTCAAATATAAAAATAAAATCGAGTAGTGCATTTTGGGGCTGTTTTAGGGGACAAATTGGCCGCCATCTCGGAAATATAGAAACCCTAAAATAGACCTAATCGGCTAACGTGTTGCTATAAACGTTTCCACCCAATTCAAACCACATGGGAATAAGTTTCATTGTTCGTTATATTTTGGTTTCAGAGTTGAATTCGTAGAGACAAACGCTTCTATTCCCAGAAGGTTTGAATTGGGTGGTAACGTACATAGCAACACGTTAGCCGATTAGGTCTATAGCCCCAACCTCAGAATGGCTGATTGCTTTGTCAAATAGTGTGTACTAACTTGGAGGAGAATCTTCTCAACAATGTCTTGACGCTGCTTGCTTGCGGTTGAGAAAGCTGCTGTTGTTGACTTGTCTGACAAAGTAAAAACATGTTCCACTTAACACCCCTTTGCGGACAACATTAGTGCACACATATTTAGGGTTTTTCTTCTTGTCCACTACAAAATGATTTATTACAAATTTCATCGATAGAGATTGTTTTGAAATCGTTTTTATTTTTCTTTGTATATTAAGATAACTTTAGGACCATACTTCCAGGCATCGAGTGCTGAACCGTCGTATGGCAGCGCGAAGCATTTACGGCTACGCCGGAGATTTCGGCCCCGACACCGCTACCCGAGGACTAACAGACTGATCAGGAAGCTCGGCCGAAGCCTAAGGGAGAGGTTAGTCGGCCCCTAGACCGTAGATGATTAACCCCTTGCTTTGACCAGCACGCCCAATATAGCGATTGTGTCGCTTATGCGTAGATATCTAAGGTTATTCCTTTCCATGTGGGACGTGTTTTCGAAAATTAACCGCGGCATATATTTGTCCGAAAACTTTAATAAAAAAGTCAACAACAAAATGGTTTCATTTTATCTTCTTGTCCTTTACAACATCCAACGAAAGACAGCTGACAGAATAAACGCTTTGAGCATGCGCCATGAATAAATCTCGTTTCTACTTTAATCTACTTTCGTTTTCGCGCATGCTCAATTCGTCCTCTTATGACTTTTCACAAGACAGCATAAATATTAATATTTATATTTAATATCTATATTTATATTTAATATTATTAATTTCTATGCTCTCTTGGTTTGAACATTGTTAATTTACCTCAGTTTCTTCATCACTCTCTTCATCACAACACATCCCTAAGCTTTTTAGTGAAAATCTATGAGATGAAATCATAAGGTTTAACGTCAATAAAGCACGATAGTACACTGTTATATAGTACTACTGTACTGTAGTGCAGTGAGGTTTGGTGTCGTACTGGATTGTGTCGTGTGGCTTTGGTTTAGTCTGGTTTAGTTGGAAACAACAGTCTGATAGACCAGCTTAAAATACCTCAAGTTCTGCTGTTTGGCGTATTCCTTATTTTCCTTGACTGCTGACCAGAAACCATCCAAAGGTTTTTTCTTGTCGTTCTTTCAAAACATAATAGCAATCAACACAGTAAACTTCATAAAAATAGATATTATCAAGAGAGAATAGATAAGAGAGGGAAACTTCTTAATAACGTTTAGTTTTTTTTAGCGATCAAAACAATAAACGGAAAGAGCACGCGGGCGTAATTTGATGACGCACGGGAGTAGGACAATGCGAAATTCAAACTGCATCCGGTTACTAAAAATAGCCCAACCGGGAATTTACATGGCGCAAGCGATATTGAGAAGTTTCCCTCTTTTATTGATGCTCTCTTGATATTATTTAAACACGAATTTCAAAATGTGAAAGACCCGGCCACCTAAAACCATGCATAAATACCTTGAATTCTACACAAGTATCTCGGCACAAGGTGCAGTCGATTCGAGCTATACGTCTTTTGTCCAAACTCTAAAAAAAAATAAAAAAAAATAGATAAATAGATAAAGAAAGAAAGAAAGAAAGAAAAAAAAAAACAAAAGAAAATCTAATCTTGGTCTGACTGATTGATCAACCGATTAATCGATCCATCAGTCAATTAGTCGTTGAAGCATCAGATAGTACGACAATCATAACTAACATAACTAAGACAGGGGAAAAAAGGAGGAAACGCAAGAAAAGATAAATGAATGAAATGTGAATGTCACCTCCTCTAGATGTCCTCTGAATGTATCCACACATGTGAAAGGCACAAGTCTGTGTACATCTCTGTCTAAAACCTTTTTCATCAGAGCATAAGTAGAACCTAAAAAATGGGAACCAAGAGTTATCATGGTACTGCCGTGCTGTGACGATGGCGTATCCAAGCATTCTGATTGGATAAACAAAGGTCTTGCAAAGTATTTCGTACCGTGACCGTAACGGTATCTCATTAGAACTGCCGTTTCACAGTCATACGAAATCTACTCTAGAGTAGCACGTGTTAGAGACGGTCATGATGCTGTGGAATAAAGCACGTGCCGGCACACGCCCTTATGAGTATGCCGTTTCACAGTCATACGAAATCTACTCTAGCGTAGCACGTTTTAGAGACGTCCACGATGCTGTGGAATAAAGCACGTGTAGGGACACGCCCTTATGAGTATTTGAGAGTATTGGACTTACCCATAAGATATTCCTTGAGTACATCCGTACATTCTGGACTCGCAGGACGGCAACAAAGATGTTCAAAGCACGTGTAGGGACACGCCCTTGTGCGTATTTGAGAGAATTGGACTTACCCATAAGATATTCCTTGAGTAGATCCGTACATTCTGGACTCGAAGGATCGTAACAAAGATGTTCAATCATCTGAAATATCCGATAAGAAAAATAAGAACTTTCAAAACTAACGATATTTGATAAACACTAAAAATTTTTTTTTTGGTAAATTACCACCAACATGGCCGCGGTAATGTCACGTGCAAACGAAGAATAGAAACGTAATGAATGTGTGAGTCAACAGCAGTAAGACTAAAGTGAACAAGAAGAAGTTGAGCGGTGTTGTAACGAATTTTGAAATCAACTCTCTTGCCTTCTTTAGAAGCGCAGCATCTTTTATATGAACCAACACAAGATGAAGTAACGACAACCTTGTGGTTGGTAAATGAGTTCTGAAAACAAAACCAAACAAAAGAGGACAAAATCATTAAAACAGCTGACTTCAACGTTTGAAGATAGATCGATAGACCAACACTTTGCTACGATAATATTTAATGTACTGCTGTCCAAAAACCACGCTTCAGACAAATCGAGCAAATTTTGTATGAAAGATTGTGAAACGGCAAGGCACGCAATATGGTCACGGTACTGAAATGAAATATTTGCAGCGCGCGAAATAACTGCCCAGCCAATGAAATTGTTTAGACACGGTACCGTCACGGTCACGGCACGTCACGCCACGGCACATCCGTAACGCGAGTTTTTCGCAGGCATACGAAATTTGCTCACATGAAGACAGCATCAAGAGGCATCATGACTCAATAAGCCTCTTATAAGAGACTCTACTTACTTTGAAAATATTTCTACTAGACGATCTTTGCAAAAGTTAAGTTCAAACCCATCACCACTTCTGCTATCCAGGATATCTGGCTCTAAAAATTAAAAATCTATCATTAGAAAAGTTAAAACAGATAATGCAAACTACAGTAGATACTCCATACGGCTTTTTTCTGTCCCTCCCTTCATACCCCGGGGGTGGGGGGACTCCAGAAAAAAAGTTCTTGGGTTGGAATTATACAATACAATACAATACAATACAAT